CGCACGCCAAGTTCCTGAGCCCCTGCAGTGCCACCTCCATCACGACGCGCCAGAGATGGCGGATTCGGCGCAGTGCCCAGCCCACGCACCACTCCATATAGTCCCTGCAGGCTGCCTCCATGCTCTCGCAGCTGGCCCATAATGCCGCGATCTGCGCTGATCGATCTCTGATCTTCTGCAGGTCTGCCACTGCGCCATCCCCCCCATAGTAGTCGGTGCTCGATCTGCTGGGCCATGTCTGTCCTGATCCAGATCCTGGCGTTTGCTCGTCACCACCTTCAGGTTCCTGTACTTGATGCCCCCCAGGTACGCTGTGGATCCGATTCGCTTCTCCATGCCACTCTCCCGTACCTTGATCGTCTCCAGGTGCCGATACCGCCCAAGTGCGCACGATCTGCTCGTCGGTGTCAATCCTCACCTTCGTCAGACTCGTGATCTCCTCCATCGCGGCCCCCACGTCCGCCAGCTGGTCATTCACGATTTGGACGGCAGTCGCGCCCATTGGGCTGTCCGCCATCAGCGGCTCCACCGCCGCTGCCATCGCAAACCCAGCCAGTCGTAGAAAACCCCAGGTCGCCCGCGAAAGCCTCGGCCGCCACCTCGTCCTCCATGCTGTAGGCCGCTCAATGATCCGCCGCTTGATGGCCTCGTCCTCTCGCGCTCTGGGGCGCCCCTCCAGTGGCCCTTCTTGCGATGTGCGTTGCACTTCGCGCGAGCCTGAATCTTCTTGAGCTCTCCTTCGGCTTCCTTGCCGTCCATCTTGATGGATCCCTGCTTGTTGATGTTGGCCTTCCAGCCTCGGTTTGACTTGCCCCGGGCGAGCCCCCCCCCGGGCTTGCCTGCAGTTAGGCTCGCGGCCATTTCGTCCAGCCCCCCGCCCGAGACGCTGAGCCTCTGCCGCTAGAGCGCCGCACTTCTCCTGGCTGACCACTTCGGGGTCGACGTCGCCAGTCGCGCCCTCGGACTCGTCGACGTCGGCCGCGAGCGCGTCGCAGTCTTCATCGCTCAGAAGCCCGTCATCGTCGCATACGCCACACTCGTCTCCGAGCAGAGCTTTGTCTTCGTCGTCGTCGTAGTCCACCGGGTAGGCCCCAAACCGTCCGCGGCCACGTCCGTCTCTGCATGTAGAGCCCAGCTGGATTAGCATCGCCGCCGCCACGTCTTCCCAGATGCGCTCGTTGTTGCATTGTCCGAGAATCACCTCATGCTCAGTCATGCTGACGTTCGCCCACTTCAGCGGAGAGTATGCTGACGTTCGCCCACTTCGTGTTTGCCGAGAGAGATTTGGGCCGCTCGCACTCCGTCTCCCGCCTTGATATGCAACGTTGCACTGACTCGGATATGCTGCGGAAGCGTTCGAAGAACGACTCCTTGAATGCTTGCTGCCTTTGTAGTGGTGCGATCCGTTCGAACGCTTGTCGCACTGTCGCAACTACCAACATTACTGCAGCAAGTGGGTCATCACCTGCTTTGTTCAACACTGCTTGCGTTGCAATCTCGACCTTCTTCCTCCTGAGATTCCACGCTCGCTTATTCAACGAATTATTGAGCTTGGTTGCGTAGAGCTTCTGGATATTCTCTTCACTCGCATGATAGCCGAGTTTTGCCCGTTCATCGAACTCCTCGCAGTAGGCTGGGTCTCCACTGTAGTGTACCACGCCCTCTTTGTCCACGAAGAGGGGTCCGTCGTTGTTGAACTGCTGCTGCCTGGTCGCCTTCACGTCCGTGATGGGGATGTTGTCGTACTGAACGCCTTCGCCGTCCTTGATGCTGCTGTCCGGCTCGAGCTCGTTGCTGCAACGATTGTCGGCCAGGCTGCAAGTGACGAGGCTGCTGATGTTGATCGCCAAACTATAGAAAACGCACTGGTGAAGCACCGCGAGACTGATGAGCGCCAGCTTGTACTTCTGCACGGCCACTCTGATATGAATCTCGCCACCGCGGAACTGATATAGCTCCATACCACCATTGTAAATACCGATGACTATATCCGATCACGTGCACCTGATGCAAGCACAAGATGGGATGTAATCGAAATCTTCCTTCCGTACTCAGACCAAACGTGAGTAGGGACGTTCACCTTCCAGCCCAGCTTGTGAGCCACAACGGTGGCGGGCGAGAGGGAAACTGCACACTGCACGAGCGAGCGAAAGCAACAACAGCTGAGATAATTCTGACTATCATCCTGAATCTCACATCCCTGCTTACCGGATGTTTCACAACATCCCAAGACATGTTCGCATTGAGCGACAGCAACAAAAACAAACAGCACGGCAACCAAAGCCGCGTGTCCGCGCTAGGGTGCGCTCGGGGGCCCTGCCGCCTGGCCGTCCACGGCAGCGTATAAAGGCGCAGCCGACCACGGACACGGCGTGAAGGAGGGGCACACTGTAACACGTTCCATATCGGGCGAGGTCGGTCAGCATCGTTTCGGAAGCCGGATAAAATCTAGATGTGCTTCGGATCGGGCTGCACCGGCAAGGAGCCGAAATCGAATCGGATACGCCACGCCAGGACGCACAACAGCTCCACGCAAGCATCGGGCCGCATCGAATCGTCGAAATACCGACGTAGAATCGGATGGCACCGGCCGCAATCGGTATCGATTTGAATCGATCGGATTGAAATACAAACGCACACAGAAACGCTCTGACCTCGCCGTCATCTCGCAGTCCCAGGTGCCGTTCGCGCAGCCGCGCCCGCAACCTCAGCGCAACAGACGGACGGGAGGGCGCCGCCACTCTGCCACCAGGGGCCTCCGGGGTGTGACAGTCCATCGGCGCGCGAAGCCCATCGCCGCCACGGCACTCGGCAATGCCGACGCAGACGCCAGAGAGCGCTCGAATCACCGGCGTCTGGAGACTCGAAGAAACCCGAGAGACCCAAGAAAGGAGGGGATATATAGAGAGGGCAACTGGAATCTTGCACGCTGCAAAGCCACATGGCGCGTTGAAAGAATCACGCAGTCGGATGTCTGTTTAGTGATTAATTCGACACGGGGTTCCCAGAAGTCCCGACCATTCCCCATAGGCTGGCCCTTCGTCCCACATCGCTTTCTGATGGCCCCAGGGCCCGAACACGGCCCTAGGGAGGAGCCCAAAATGACGGGGCGCCTCCGACTTGATTTTGCGCAAGGCGTCGGAAGTCTGGGCAAGCCAGCGCGCCGGACATCTCTGAAGTACCCCGAGAACCCCCAGCACAGCCGGACCCGCAGGCTAGGGGGCGCCCAGGGGAAGGAGGAAAGGCCAACGCGAAGGCGGCGTGGAGCAAGTAGAGCGAGAGGCGCGCTGGCGTGGACCCAGCCGGGTCGTCGCCTCCGAGCCTTCCAACAGCCCGAGACGGGCGGGGACCTCGCATCGCCCGGGGGGGGGGGGCGACGCCTCGGCGCGCGAGAGGGAGCCAGGCCAGAGCGCGGGTCGGAGCCCTAGGCCCGCGTAGCTCGGGCCA